GGGGGGGGGTCGTGGGCCTACCCGGCCTGGCTTCCCGTAACTAACCCGGTTAGTGGGCCTGGGGGGTGGTGGTCAGAAAGGATGGGGAGGGCCTGCCTCACGTCGCCCCCGCCGCATTTCAGCCCTCCCAATGCGGGGAAGGGGCCTGCCTCCCCCCTCCAAATAAAGTGGCTGACCCCCCCCCCCCTTATGGGTTGAGGGGGGGCCGCGTGGAGGCCTCCCCCCCCCCCCCCCCCCCCCCCCCCCCCCCCCCCCCCCATTTGCCCCCTAAGGCCCCGCTTAGGGGGGGGGGCCCCCCCCCCCCCCCCCCCGCAGGCCCTGCTATCCCAGCCTTCCCTTTTTGGGGGTGGGGTCGGGGTCCTCCTGCCCCCAAGCTACTCCCAAGGGGCCGGTGGGGGGGGTGTCACCCAGGTGGGTTGGGGGGGGTCCTTCTCCAGGCTGCCCTGCCTGCAGAAAAGGGAAGGGAGGGGGGGGCACTGCTTTTTTTAAAAAAAAATAATTTATTTTATGAAATTATTTCCACCCTTTCAATGACTTTCACGTGCAGATTCGTCTCTACTTGTGGGGGGAGGGGAGGGGGAGGTGCTGCTTCCCCCCCCCCCCCCTTCATAGTGTTCTTCAATTCCCACCTTGCCTTTCAGGGAGTTGCTCTGGGCATGTGCAGAGAATCTTTGCTGCTTGGGAGGGAGGGAGGGCAGGTGAGGGTTGGGGCTGCTTTTTTTCTTCTTCTTCTGACTTGTTTTAATTCCTTTTATAGGCTTAGATTCCCTCCATGCCTTTAACCGACTTGCTCTGGGCATGTGCAGAGTCTCCTCTCTGCTTTGGAAGTGTGTGTGTGGGGGGGCGGCTTTTTCTGTTTTATTTTATTCTTAAATTTCCACCCTGCCTTTCAGGGAGTTTGCTCTGGGCATGTGCAGAGTCCTCTCTGCTGCTTCGGGAGGGTTGGGGCTGCTTTTTCTTCTTCTGTTCTATTTTATTTCTTTTAGTCTTAGGTTTCTCCACCAACTGACTTAACTCTGGGCATGTGCAGAGCCTCCCTCCTGGGTGGGTGGGGCAGCTGCTTCCCCCCCCCCCCATAGTGTTTCTTTTTATTTTATTCTTAAATTTCCACTTAGCCTTTTCTGGACTTGCTCAGGGCATGTGCAGAGTCCTTTCTGCTGGTGGGGAAGAAGGGCTGCCTCCCCCTCCCCCCACTGTTTTATTCTTAAATTTCCACTCTGCCTTTTCATGACTTCCTCTGGGCATGTGCAGAGTTCTCCCTCCCCACAGCCCAGTAAAAGAATGCCTGCCCCTCCCAAACTCAGCTTGTATTTAGGATTTATTTATATTTCATATTATATTCAATTCATTCAATTTTTTTGGCATTTTTACACCACCCATCTCTTGTAAGGGTCACTTTCCAACCTTCTTATTCTGCTGGGAGAGGCCATATTTCCTCTAGAGTATTCCCAATTGTTAAATGCGTGTCCCCAAGCTGTGGGTCCCACCTTGGTCTTAAGGGCAGAAATGGTCTTTCATCTCAGAAGGAAGAAAGCTGGCTGTCCTTGGAAATTGCTGAGTTTGGTTTCCATTTTTTTCTCTCACAGCTGGCTGCTGGCTGGAAGGGAGGAGGACCGTAGTTATAAGCCCAGTTGGGTGCCTCCTCTCCTATAATCTTGCACAAGGACTTTTATTTATCTGTTACTGTTTATAATAAAATTTAATTTATATACTGCCATCTCATTGTTTTGGGTGACTCTAGGAATATCAGCCTGTTTCCTTAGACTTCATAACAGGCATCATGGGAATCCTTCAAATCCTCTCCATCCTCCTCTGCAGTTTTTTTTTTTAAATTCAGCAACTTGAAAAGGTCTGGACTTCAACATCCAGAATTCCCATGCTTGAGAAGTGTGTGTGTGTGGGGGTTGGACTAGAAGACCTCCAAGGTACCCTAGAGTTCCATAGGTAGTCTGGCCCCTTCCATTCTGATGATGATATCTTCATCTTCTGCTCCCTGCAGTGGTGGATGCTGAAGTAATTTCCTTCTCTGGCTTCTGTTTCCAATAATCTCTGATTGCAAGGGGTCCTTGGTGCTCTCTGAGCTTGGTTGTTTTCTTTGCTATGTTTCATAACCGAACTAGGTAACATCAGTGCTAGAAGGGAGTGGGGTTTGTAGGTTGGAGGAGGAGGAGGAGGACTGGGGGGGGGTCCTTGGTGCTCCCTGAGATTGATGGTTTTCTTGCATTTATAAAAATGAGAGCAAACCTCACTGCCTACTACTGATAGCATAGTTTGGTAGAAAACCACCAAGGTCAGAGACCACCAAGGACCCCTCATTTCAACCCCGAGCTTCAAATATTTTCCTTAATGTCCATTATTAGCCATCATTGCTTGCTTCCTTTTGATCGTCATACCTTCTGCTCTGAGGAATCTTTGCTACTTAAAACCCAAACTTCCATCCTATAATTACCTTCAACTATCTCTGACCCCATTAACTTTCTTTTTCCCTCCCCCTTAACTAATTTCCTAGTCCTTTGGGTCTAAGGGTGTTGAATCTCAGGTCTATTCGTGAGTTCCTTTTAGGTGTGTGTGAGTGTGTGTGTGTGAAATCACCTCCTGTCTATGCATAGCAGGAGACACCATATCCCTCCTAACAGAAAAGTTATATGAACCAGCTGTTAATGAATATTTTCCTCATCATTTCTGGTAGGCCATTATGCCTATAATGTGTGTGTGTGTGTGTGTGTAATAATAGCACTTAGACTTACTGGTATATACAGCTTCAGAGTGCTTCACAGCCCTCTCTAAGTGGTCTACAGAGTCGGCCTCTTGCCCCCAACAATTTTGAGTCCTCATTTTACCCACCTTGGAAGGATGAGTCAACCTGGAGCCAGTGAGGATCGAACTCCTGGCAGTGGGCAGAATTAGCCTGCAATCCTGAATTCTAACAGGAAGGAAGATAGCAATAGCACTTAGACTTATAGACGCTTCACGTTGCTTGTACAGCCCTCTCTAAGCGGTTTACAGAGTT